GTGAAATGCCTGTAGGCAGAAGGTTTAGAAGATCGAAGGAAAGAGGATTGGTACGGGAACGAAAAAGAAAATCATGTCTGAGACGATTGACTGATATTTGCAAAAGGAACAGTCAAGTTTGAGACAATTGATTGACATTTTGCAAATTAAGTATTTACTGTATGGTTCTCAGATTTTACTTAGATGTTCTGTAATTTTTTGTTCAAATACATTGGATTGTCACCACTTGTGTCCTCGTTCACTACAATAGTATAATTGACTGACAAACATCGAGAAGCTATCCGGAAACTAAAATCCAATGAGCATATTCTTACCACTAAATCTGCTAAAGGATCGAGCACTGTAATTCTAAGCAAGACAGATTACATATAGAGGTCATACTAAATTCCAAAATCTTGCGTCCTTTAGAGACCTCAATAAAAAGATCAAATGTCAATTAACCACGATATTGAAACTTTTAAAACAACATTACTGCATTTCTGAGTATGCCTAAAATGGGCTCAAGCCTTCTGAAACACATACTTCTCAACTTTATGGCTTACCCAATATTCATAAACCTGAGGTTTTTCACATCCAATTCTATACATATCAAACTTGTAGCGAGTACTAGTGATGGCAATGTCCTCTTACGTGGTTCATCCTGTTTGGAGTGCTCAAGCAATCATTCTTTAGATCAATGCCAGAGGTTCAAAGACAACAATGTTAGAGAAGGGAAAGAATTTGTCTTCAGGCATAAGCTATGTAACGTTTGTCTGATGGCAAACCATGTAGCGAAAAATTGTCAGTTACCGAGGTCATGTGCTACTGAAACGTGTGGCTGAAGACACCATATCCTGTTACACGAGAAGTGGGAAGGATAAAGAGATACTACTAGTGATGCCTACAATAATACTCAGCTTTCTACGGAGGAAGGTGTTAAGTGTATGCAGAGACCAGTAGCATTTGCAGTAGTGCCTGTATGGATAAAAAATAATGAGAAAATTATTTAGACTTGCGCCTTTCTAGATAGCGGGTCAGATACCTCCCTCATAGTTGATGATCTCGCTGATAAGTTAGGCCTCGAGGAAAAGCCAAAAATGGTATCTTTAAAGACTCTTAGTAATGAATCGTCGTTGGTATCCAAAGAGGTCGACGTAGAGTTGCACTCGATAGATTTTTCGTCATCCGTTAAGGTCCAGAAAGTTTTGACAGTCAAGAAACCAACGGTTGTCTACAGGAGCGTGCCAACGGCGCATCAAATGACATCCTGGTCCTATTTAAAAGACATAAGTTTTCCGAGAGTAGAAGATGAGAATGCTTTCAGACATATCAATAGCTTTACAAATATATCTTCGGACTTCTTCATTTCTGATTTGACCAGGTTGGCATACTTCGCTTATAAAGGTGTTACGTGTAAAGGTGATGTTAAACTCCGGATACCTGTAGCATCTTTAAACTCACTCAATATCAAAATGGTTGGTTAAATTATTGAAACCTTTACACTGGGAATCGGTTACGTATGGCGCTATAGACGTATTTGTGGTTGTGGATAAAAAACAAAATTTACAAGTGATAAAAACACGTTATCATTAGTTATAACATTCTTTTTAACTAACATCTCACCGACTAAAGCCATTGTTTACGTATGTGAACAATTGCTAGGAAAGAAAATAGAAAAACCGGTCCTAATAAATAAAACAAAGGAGCTTCTGGTAAAATGTACTACTGGTCGGTATATCCATTTCCATAACTTTACACCTCTTTAATACAAAATAAATTTAGTTAAATGTCTCAGTCACAGAATCAAAATTTTATGTTCTGAAGGCAGTGTGGTGGGCCAGACAATATATAAACGCAAAAGGTATCAACAAAGTTAATAACAATCAATAGTAATATTAATATATACAAGTTAAATGTTACAAATACAATAATAATTAAGGACGTTACTTAAATTGCCCAAACGTTGCGTGTTCTGATTAAGTCCAGTAATGTAAATCCACAATTATAAATGCTTGATGACTTTGAGGAGGTTGGTGAACTCTCTAGCGATATAGTCCAACGTAGGATGTGATATATTCCAATTATAGTCTATAAATGTAGATAGTATTTGATTTAGACTTCCATTAACTCAATCACAAATGAAAATAAAACAAGGAATGCGTGAGTAGTAATGTATTTGTTAACCAGCACGAATATGTCACGCTATGTAGTAGCTCAACGGAAAGTGTGTCCAAGGTCAATGACTAAAACAACACGTACAGTCATTTAATGATGAATGTACATACAGTGAAAAATTGACAAACAAATACAAATAATATTAAAAACTATTTACAAAATAAGGTTGTCAGGTCTATCTCCACAGCAGTGTATATAGCGAAATAAATACACTAAAGAATACATTGCCGAATAACGGCTATCCAGATAATTCTGTCGGAAAACTCCTAGTAGAAGATATTAAAAGAAACAGGAAACCGTGACTCGGATAGTAAAAAAACCCTGTATCTGAAACTGCATTTTGAAGGAGATATAGCAGGGGACATTTTAAAACGTTGACTCAAAAGATCTTTTGAAAAGACGTTTTACATCGCCAGGTCACATATCATTTACTTAACAAAACCAGCACTTAGACAACAGATCAAGCTTAGGCTACCGATGATGGACTCCTCCATGTGTGTATTCCAATTCAGCTGCTTCGGTGGAGCTAGTTACATAGGCCGTACTCAGAGGACTTTATCCCTGCGTGTCAGTGAACATGTACCAGTATGGTTGGGAAAAGGAATCACTAAATCGATAAGCAATACCATCCTTTCTCATTTGGCAGATAGTGAACATCATACTAAAATAGATGAAGTTTTCCCTGTTTTATATCACGTTCCGAAGAAGTTACCTTAAGGAGCTAGATTACGAACACTCTACATTGCTGAAACCATCTAGATGAACTCCAGAAAACCGAACTTATTTATCCAAAAGAAGTATATCTAGCCTCCATGTTTACCTTGGCCCACAACTGGATCACCAAATACTTAGACTGGATATTGTGAACCTGTAACCCCCTCCAAATTCCTTTTGTGTTTATATCTCCCTTAATCTGCACATTCATCTTTTTTAATTCATACGAATTCCTTTTTATCATAGTTACCTTGATAAAAGCCCCCTTATTACATATCATATTCACACAACAATATTATTATTAGTGTTATATAAACTTGTTACTGTGCTAAACCAATGAGGTGTCAAACAGTAATAGCAGCCTTCAGTCAACTCCGAGTCCTTATTGATCCCTTGTATAGGAGCTTCTCGCCTTATCCTACCCTTTCAGTTCAGAACACAAATATCAACCACCACTGTATCAGTCGCATATTTCAGACATACGTGGTTTATATACGGGCAGACCAGACGGCATCGCACCTTAAAATGAAAAATAATAGTTGTACAAGATCAAGCCAAGAGTGAGAGTGAGTATAGGAGGCTGTAACTGACAGACAGTAGTCAATCGGTCAAATGAGAGCTTATGATAAGAGGAATATATATATACAATTACATAATAATTATCCAACAAGAATATATGTTATAATATTCCGTGAGTAATTCCTAGCAGTAACCATCCATATTCTCCGTCCGGATATAACATCAACCCCTTTTACTATCACGCACTGAATTCATATCACTTCATACATCGCGTAATCTCCAACTAATCATTTGATTTGATCTATAAATATAATATTATTTTTTCTCACTCTTGTCATCTATATTTATTCTGACCATCAATATCGCATTTTCATTTTGAATATACATTTGTCCAAGTCAGCATTACATACAAGTTAGGCTAAGATCAAGAGTCCTATTTTATTCCACAAACAATCCTAAAACTCATATACTATGATTTTAATTGATTTATTTACTTTAAACTTAACTATTCTTTTAAAACATTATTATAGTTGTATAATTGTAGAACCTGGTAAGAATTTATCAGAAAGAATATTCTTCCTTCACATATCATTGTCTTAATATGATGGACACTTTTATTTAGTCTTATTTCTAGCAAATATAAGAAATGATATCTCCCATGTGCTTGAAAATATTAAGTTCTTGGCTCAGTATCTTGGTACCGACAATCTTTTAAAGTAACTCGCCATTTAAACACATTTCATTCTGACCTGACGAATAATTCCCACTGAGTTTAAATTTTACTCTCAGACTTACACCTTTATAAAAAAAACTTCCTATCAATTCAGTCAAAAAATAACCTTTTATGATATCGTTCTACCTGTAATTTTTGAAGGTTGAAAACAATTAAAGGTATCTTTAAGTAAATGCAAGATAATTTTCAAACACTTTATGACATAATTGTAAAAGACAACATCACTTTAGTTACAAATCTTTCGTCCAAATACACAAGTTGCTAATCACTATGGTATGGAAAATATTTGTTAATTACGTACAAATTAGACGAATGTTGAAAGTGAAACTAAACAAAATATCAAACGACAACACATTAGATATTTTCTAATAACATTTAAATTGAAATATTTATCGAAAAAAAATTTTTTTGGGATACAAGTGTTCAATCTATTTTTTTTAATGTCATTTCAATCGGTTCCATTTAAGCTTAAGGTGATAAGGCAAAATTCTTTTGTTCATTTATGAAAAAAAGTGAAAGAAAATGGCATACTATGATACAGTTCTTTAAATGATCGCTTTATTGAATAAAAGCTTTAGGAATGAGTTCATGATTAATGAAAGATCAATAGTTTTCAATATGAATGAAAAATGAAATGTTTATTAGATATTAATGTTTTTCCACTTCATTTTTCTCCTCTCTTTCTCTATCTCTGCGATCAAATGGTTTAAGAAAAGTATATAATTTACCTTCTCATCAATATAATCATATTATATATAATAAATAACCCATTTATGTAAATACAAATTGTCATTATTTAATTGACTATTGTTTATTTTGTTGCTTGTTCTTTTTGTTGATTAGAAAATTCATTTAAACAAATATCATAATTGTTCAATGTTCAATTTATTTTAGTTGCTTCATTTGATGAATAATATGTATTTGTAATTGATAATTTATTAAGAAAATATTGTTTCACTGTTAACATCCATCCTTTGACTTGTATCTTTGAAAGTTTTATATGGAATATAATAGTAATCATTGTTATAAAGGTGTATATGTAAACTATCCAATTCAATTGTTTTGTTAAAAGATGAACTATTGAGAGAAAAAAAGACCGAAGAATGATTTGAAAATAAAAATAAAATCAAAAAATAGTATCAAACTAAGATAACTAAAATATTGAAAATGAGTTAAATGTGATTTTATAATTAAGGCTGTATATAAATAGCAAACATAAATCCCTGTTGCATTGTTAATATTCAGCACGCACATATTAGTAATTCAAGTATGACTTATTGGTTAATAGATTTTTTTTAAAGATTAATGATACTCAGTATAACTGATAAGTTGGATGGTTATGCCAATCGACTCAACTTTCGGTAATTCAGTTATGGTATAAAAACAAGGTAATTAAAAAAAAACGAAATTATTTGCAATGCTTTATTTCTAAGCCTAAGGATTAAATGATCTGACCAGTGAAAGATTATATGAGAAAATAAGTAGGCTACAAATGAGTAAGTTATTAAATAATTACTATTTACAGATCAAAGTAGTCAATAGATAAATAAATAAACGGACACACGAAGCTGACATACTGTTTAGAGAGTGTACAACATGAAAATTAACCAGTATTCGAATCTGAAGTTCGAGGATTGGAAACTGTGAGTTTGATTGCTAAACCAATATTCTAACTTCCAGTTTTGGGGTTGTGTAGGTTGTTGAATTCCATTGAAATCATGGACCGATCAATGTTAGATCACCATCGAAAACCTGGAAGCACTAGACGTCCTAGTATGGCACTCCTCATTAGTGCATATTCATGATCCCGCACACTAGGATCGAACAAATGACCATCAGTCTCGCGCGAACACTTGATCTCTATCCCACTGAGCCGACGGTGATAATGTCTAACTTTAACCAATCCACCATATTGAGAAAATATTCTCCATTGTCTTTGATGGATAATCGTCTCTCACCCGACGTGCTTCGACCTCACCTTAAACTGAAAATTATCATGTGCTCACTAGTGGCTAGGTTCGAAAGTAATCTCTTAATATCGCGGATTGGTTAAAATTAGACATTAACACTGTTGGATGCTGGTTCAGTGGTATCAATTTGTTAATTACAGTTAACGACGTAACGCTTTCAATGAAGGAGTACCAGTAAGTAAACTGTTGAGTTATTGTAGTTTATGTAGGTCATCTAAACAGAACTCATTCGTATATTGTTGCGCTGATTGCAAATACCTAGATTATAAAGCAACATAATGAAATAAGAATAGAGAATGATAGTATCATCTTCATTACTTTGGCGTCTTAATAAGGCTTTGTTCAAACTGTTCAATTTAAAGTTAGTTTTATCATGGAAAAGATAATCATTGAGTTCAATTATACTTGTGTTTGTGAAAATTTATTGTTGAGAAGTTACAAACTAGTACAGAACAACAGTTAAGTGCTTCCTGTTTCGTAATGATTTCACAGTTGATGGTAAGAGAATTGCTTATTTGATAGTTTTAGTTTTCATTTACTACTTTGGCACTGTTGATTGGAAAAAGATTCCTCGTTAACAGTTTTAAATTAGCCCAATTAATTACGTTTTATATAATATTTATAAACAATTTCGTTATATACAAGAGTAACATTTTAAAAATATTAAATTATCTATACTTAATCAAAAACATATTGATTATTTGTTTGTTATTTCAATAATTGAGGTCATGAGTTAATTGAAGCTAGACCACCATGGAAAACCTGAAAGCACTGGACGGTCATTTCGTCCTGTTGTACAACTTCTCAGCAGTGCGCATCCACGACCTCACTCCCTGCTGGATTCGAACCCAGGACTTATCGGTCTCGCTCACAAACGCTTAACATCTAGACCACTGAGACGGCATCCAACGGTGTTAATGTAGAACTTCAACTAATCCATGAGATTGAACGACACATCCACGATTGTCTTCAGTGATTTACTATCTCACAACGGACCCGGTTGAACTCCACTGGTCACTGCTTCTCACTAGAACTCCAGGATATACCACTTGAATCCAGTCACTAGTGATCATATGTTGATTAGTATCAGCAGGGGTCATTATGGATATTATAGTAAACTCAATAGTTGAGATCATGAGTTAGTTGTTAGTTTAACATTTACTCTCTTTCGCTCTCTCTGATCATAAAATATAAAACTAGATCAGCTAAATACAAAAATTTTCTAGTTCGTTTGTTTTTATTTCATTCAACAGAGAAAAATGCTCATTTTTATTTCAGAATTTTTTTTCAAAAATTTGTAGCGTATAAAATAAAACAAGTAAGTTTCTTTTTTGTTTAGATAAATTGTCAATTGTGTTACAAGTCACGAAAAAACTAAGAAATGTCAATTAATAATTTTAGATTAATTGATTATTTATTTAACTGATCGTAAATCATATAAGGGACTTATAGTGAGTTTAAGAGAAGACTAGTAGACTAAAATCATTCGTTGTTAGCATTAGAGCAAACAGAAAAATTCTTAGAATAAAATGAATGTAAGTTTTTTTTCCAGGGTTTTTATCAATAGAAAGCAAGCTGTTTTCAAAAGAAAAAAAACAAGATAATAAATAAAATATTAGAAAAATTTTGTCGGTAAAGTTAAAACTAAAGATCAATACAAGGCAGTATTAAATATTTTTTCGATCGAGATCATGAACCGATTGATGTTAGACCATCGTTGGAAACCTGGAAGCACTGGATGGCCGTTTCGTCCTATCGTGGGACTCCTTAGCAGTGCACATCCACGATCTCGCTCGCGGGATTCGAAACCAGGGAGCCTACAGTCTCGCACGCGAACGCATAACCTACTGGACCACTGAGCCGGCATCCAATGGTGTTAATGTTTTACCTCAACCAATCCACGGAGTTGCGTGACCATCTTCCATTGTACTGAGGTAGACACCTGTTTCTACCCGACACGGATTAGCTCCACTGGTCACGGCTCATGATCTCAATCAAAAACTAAAAAATCTCCACAACCTCTAAACTGACAGTATTAAATAACTGAATTATTTTTACCAATCTACTGATTTTCATCTACTGAGTTAGTTTCATCTTATTTATTTATAGAGATTGATAATCTCGTACTACTTCTATCATTGATATGACCATATATGACTGTCTTTCCCTTATGTTTTATGGCAGAATTACCATAATCAAAATACACACCGATCTAAACCATGGTGTATAATGTAAATTGAAGTGGTTGTGATTTTTAGCTCAGGTGGTTGATTTTGTTTAAGTTTCGTTCTTTTAGCAGAATGATTTATTCGCGAAAGCAGAAGTTCAAGAATAACTATTCAAGATCAAGTTAGTCAGGACAGGTTGTCAGCTTTTGCTGATGATATTGTTCAGAAGGATAGTGAAATCTTTATGTCTAAACTATCTAGCTCAGAAAACGAAAATCCATCAAAATAATTTATAAAAATGCCAAGTGTTTCTTAATAGTTTTTTATATGATAAAAAATACAGAAAATACATTTTAACTATGCTTCGTCTGAGAAGCAAATACAATGTCAGGAACTATTGTTTACTTGAAAAGCAACAAGATAATGTTGCCTGAGTTGATGTCGATCAGAAACAAAAACTATATATAAATTGAAAAAATTTCCATAAAAACGATATTGGTTTTATGATCGACTGCTCAGCAGAGATTAGGTTCAAGAAAAATGTCAACACTCTAGTTGGGATTTATGACTGATGGAGTTCAACCATGTCGGGATCAAGATAGTCACTATTGATGGTATCAGCTGATCGTCGAGAGTTATCGTAAATTGGTTCGAGTTAAGAAAACAAACTGTTAACCTGGAGACAACGGAGTTACACAATACATGCATTTTTTTGGATTAAATTTATGGGTAGCCTTCGGTGTGCATAACTGAGGAATCTGTAACTAGGGAAAAGTAGAGATGTATTGTTTGCTAGTTTTAAATGATAACATAAATGACTGCAGTCTATGCTGAATACCATTTACTAAATCGGTAAAAAAATTAAATAAGACTAGTCAGCTATCAAGCTTCCACAGCTGGGCCCTTATTGGTTGAAAGAGGAACTCAATTACATCACTCGCTACGCGAATACGAAGAATTTATAGTCTCGAGGTCATAGACAACGAACTGAGCATCCTTAAGACAATATCAATTGAAGATGGATATCCTTCGATATTTACCAACAAGAATTTAAAACCCGAACAGCCCCAAGGACAATTAACCTCAATTGAAAAGAAAACACTTTATATGAACATCGAACTGATAGAGTTACAAGCGTTCTAAAGAGAAGAACTTCCGATTCTCTAAAAAGAACGCTCTTCTCAGCAACTTTGTGAATAATGTTCTCCAGCCGATCAGTGATCTTAAGGACAAATTATCTCATTTGATCAACTGTATATGCATTTACCAATCTACCTATTAATGTGGAGCCAAGTATATAGGCCGTTTGATGAGTACTTTATCCAAAAGAATTCAAGAACCAAAAATCATGTGTCCGAAAAGAGATTGGTACAATCTTTTCTTCTAACTTGGTCTTAATCTCTCATAATTTTCTTTTTTATTCCCTCACAATCATCTGCTTCCCTTTCTATTTTCTCTATAGACCTTTTACCTCCAACTGGTTTATTCCTGTTTCCATGATCATCCTGATTACATACCATTTCAATTTCAACATTTTATCTTATCGTGTTGAGCCATCCTTTCCCAATTATAACTTCTTTGTCTATCTTCATGATGAATATTCAAGCTCTTAACAACAAAACTATTATTAGTTTCCCTGATAAAAAAATAACATTTTAATACCTATGTTCATTCTACTTCACTATTACCATGTTTAGTAGAATTCTATTATCACCATTATTTTAATTAATATCATCTTGAAAAATAAGTATAGATTTGCGCGTTGGCTGAATAGAGAACTCTTCACTAAACCAATCTTTCGTATCTAGTGTCTCAATGGGTATATTCTGTCTACTTAAAAACATTAAAAAGAAACTTGTTTGATTTACCTGTCACAAAAGTCACTGAATAAGCAGACGATAATAGTTGTGATACATGGATTCCATTCATTTTTATCGTCAAAGAGAATAAAGCATTCCTGAAGCAATAACTAAAAATGAAAAAAAATAAGACATGAAAGTGTGAGTTAAGGAGGAAAGGAAACTTGCTGTTGAAAAAATGAAATCGACTTATTTGTATGAACGATTGACTAGTTTCAAAGAATTGGTTTTTGTAAAATCTTCGACGAATCGATCATAATATGCTCTATGTTTATCAACATTTCAGAACCTTAGAAAAAGGTTATTGGATGCTCAGACGTTTGTATCGAGTTAGAAAAACTCAAACATCCAGTGAGTTTTACATTTTCCCAATAAGCCCATTTTTTAAGTCTAAGGTCCAGTCTTTGTCCGATTGAATTTGATTAGGTATCAATACAAAACAATCTCTAAAAGTAATGGGATATGTTTATTTTACGTCAAGTCAAAATGTACACATAAAGTTTTAGAAGAAGATGAACAGTGTGTGGAAACATTTTCTTTCAATTAGTATCTATATTTCAATGAATAATATAATCAGTTCCATTCAATTTGAATTCTATATAACAATACTAAAAAGTTACATGTCTTGATGGAAACAGTAATGAATGACTCACAAAGTAATGAAAAGTTTACAGAAACATTCAAATGTAATATTCATTAGATGAATTCAAAAAAGAATAGTTATAAATTGAAAAACCATAGGATAACTAATAACGTTTATCGACCAAGAATGATCAAATGCAATAATGGGTAACAAAAAAGGGAAATTACAAACCCTTACAAATTGTAACATACGCTGAATAAACTAATGAGTAGTTGGGTTCACTAATTTAGTGAATAATATGTTAGGAACCGAAGTGGAAAGTACTTAGTTTATGTTACATTATGAAAATCAAGAGTGAGATCCAGTTGATTCTATCTAATTAGTTCTAAGTTAAGTGAGACTTGCGTCCTGGAGTTCACTATTAGACACTGTTAAAAAAATATTAATTTTGATGGAGTTTTATTCTCTGAGCTGGATGGTTTGATCCATGGATGAACCTGAGCCACAAATCTTCCCCACCATTTCAAAAAAATACTAAAATTAGTAAATGGTTCAAAAAGTTGGATATCAAAAATAATTACGAAAGATGAAAGAGGTTAGAATAGACAACCAAAGATAAAATGACTGTTGAGTAATAAGGTGTACTAATGCCATTAAGAAGGACATAGTCAAAAAGCACTTGTACTATGATTATAACTAAATTTTCTAAACATTCGAACAATTTTTTGACTAATTCGTACAGAGAATTTTCAATGTAGTCATGATTAAAATAAGTCACCAGTTAATGTTTAATAAGCAACACTAATTGCCACACTACAATAATAAGAGAAAATCAGATAGTTGTAATATAACTTACCTAGATGTAAACATCCAAGATGCTTGTAAATGAATTGAATATTAAACTCTCTTGGAACACTGCAAGATTCAGTTGATATTGTATTATCATAGTTATCTGAGATTGGAAATAATCTTTGAAGAAACCAGTTACTATGTGGTGTCGGAAATCCTATTAGCTGAGAAATTTGAGAAACGTTTTATAAAATGATGAATTAGGTTATTAGAATTTAGTGTATAACATCATATTTCAATAGAAGAAACTTTCTTGTCGTTTCATAAACTAACTTTTTTAAAAATGTTCATAACATAAATAATAAAATGTTGAAAGCAATTTTTTATTAGCTTTCATTCACTGGAAAATTATGTCAGATCAAAGAGAGCTAGAAGATTATTTCATACTAGGTCGAGAGTATCTGAAATAGTCAAATCATGTTTTCTAAAGAAAACTTTACGTCTTGAGAATAGTACGATATCAATTATTGACTGACTTGTTCAGTTGTTAACAGATATAAATTCAGTTGATTTCTCATACGGTTTATTTTTCGTGTCATACAGTAAATGAATCACTACTTTACTTACTACTTGGTTGATTCCACAGTTCGTGAGTTTCCCTTATCATTAACATAAGTATACTAAGCTTAATCTATTAGATCAGGCTGTGATTTATCGTTAACCAGATTTTACTGGCCTTCTAGCTGACTCGAGTTAAATTTGACGAATGATTGTTATCGACTGATTGCTGTCGAAATATACATCCGGGCTAAATTCGTATATAATCATCGACTTAAATCATGTTAGCGAACAGTGGAATTAAATGAGTCAAACGCGAGATTGAATTTTTGGATACGTATATTTCGTATAATTGTTGATCGTGAAGCGATGCATAACAAAATAACGCATGGTGGAGAAGGCGAGTGAGCCAATTCCATTTAGTCAAGCGTAAAATGATATTTATAATCAAACCAAATTAAGTAACAGACACATAATGAGTAGGATAAGTAATTAGAACACATGCGATCACATAAAAAACAGTGAGGATTAACAAGCGAATACGTGACAAGGTGAATATGTGGTTTGAGAAGAATGAATAGATTGGTCTGTTCAGAGGCTAGAATAAACTATGTGGGTTTGATATAGTACCAGCTATAAAAGATAAAGTTTAACAAACGCTTTTTTCTCTATTATTGTTATTATCGTAATTATTTTCCACATAATTGTTCGTTTATTTTTCTTCACTATCGAACTAACATTTTTTGCCACGTAATTTTGATAATGTTTAGTAATTGTTATTTTAACGTCGATTTTTCTCCAACTATTGGCATACTTCCAATGTTAAAGATTGATTAAAATTTTAAGTAAATCCCACGTTTCGTTTGGCAATCTGGTCAATTCCTTTTCAGGGAAATATGATCAACTATAAGAATTATCGAACATAAATAAGTACATGATTCTCCGATTAATTGTACACCAAACATATCATCCAATCATATTAACGATGTCGATGGTAAGAATTTGCTATAGTGAGTATCAGACATTTGATGGGAAGAAATATGTTAAATTAACAGTTGTATGTATGTGTGAATAGATCTAAGGTGAAAGAAAAAACTTCATTGACTAGTACGCTTGTGATCGGTGAGTTTTTCGATGAACACAGACAATTTTATAGATGATATAAGTTAAGTATATCAATCGTGAATAATAAAAAAAATAAATGAACACAAAAATGAATTCATTTTTGTACTGGTTGCTTGAATCCTCTCATTGAAGTTTAGGACTGAAATCGATCAGTCTCTTATTTGTCATATGTGCATTATACACATATGATTGCCTCAATATTACCTTCAGTCACAAGCATTATAAATAGAGATGAATGAAGGCTAGCAGTAGGATCCGGGACGCGCGTTTCGTTCTGTGTGGAACTCGTTAGTTGGATGTACCTGCATCCCAGATATAATGTCCATTCTGGGACTTAAACCCAGTACTATTCACTTCAAACGCCATTGCGTTATTCACTTAAAATAAATGTTTGTGTTATTGTGTTCATCAAGATAACTGTCCATCAGATTAACCAACTGATTAGAACAGATGAAAGTAATCGTTGTTGTTCAGATAATAAATGATAGATCAAGTGGATAAGGAGTTCAGGTTTACTTATTAAACATTAGTTGACATATGACAGCTAGTTTTATCCCACTTCTCCTATTAATACCGCTTTGATTTGCACATATCTGTAGGTCTTCAGCTGTTAGTCTTTCTCTCTAAGAACTAAAACCTTTTTAAAAGATTCTCATGGCTTTTAAATCAATTGTATGACCAGACTCTATTGAGTGTAATGCAATCTTCGACCCGTTTTTTTGGTTGTTTTCTTCATGTCATATGACGATTTAGGAATATACTTCAAACAAAGTTTGTATTCCTTTAACCTTTAGCCTCACCTTCATATAATACAGTATTACAACTACTACATTTCATCTCATATACGAAATTTTATTGTCCGACTTTTCGTACTGAAGCTTTGATTTTTACTAGCTTAGAGATTAAAAGAACTCTCTTATATTTTAATCATTTAAGGCCCTTCTGATCATTTGCAAAATTCCTTTACGATGTTGGATTTACGATATGATATTTTACAAATATAATTTTTCATTCTTAATATCTTACATTGACTTGGTGCACAACTACTGTGAAACTATTCGTTCAAGTATAGAAGAAAATTTATATAAATATTTTTAGACTGTTATTATTCTTATCACTACGACTTTACCTATCATCATACTATCAAACGGTACTTTTACGTATTATGAATAGTTACGCGATCTATTTTATTGTTGTGATTTACTCATAAATTGTCTTGATTAGTCTAATATTTTCCATATACTTATATAAATTATTTTGTTCATCAGAGTCAAGCTTGATGTAATTCTAATGGAAAACAGTATTGTACGTTTATATGCACTAATCCAATATATGTAAATGTGAAGTCATGTTTATGAAATCATTGTTCTCTACCATAAGTTATTAAAAAATAGCTTCATTGTACCAGATGCATTCATAAATGCATAGGTTAAATTCAGGAGATGTGCTCCTGTTTCAAGCGTTATTTATATTATCAGAATGGGTTTTGTGGAGATATTTAGAAATTTCACTGGTTGAAATCATGAGTCAATTGAAGCTAGACCACTGAGGAGCCCCATACTAGGACGAAACGGCCGTCCAGTGCTTCCAGGTTTTCCATGGTGATCTAGCTTCAATTGACTCATGATTTCAACCAGTGTTATTTATATATTTGAATAACTAATTTTTGGATTGGATCTTCTGTTGTTACTTACTTTTTACAATCAAATATTTCATCTAGGATTTTGTCGAACTGTTGTCTAAACAAGGTTATTTAGAATCTTAAAAATGGCCAAACTTCTATCCGATAAAACTCTATTAGATATCGTTCCCGATAGATCGGTTGCAATTTCGTATTTGTTGTTCAAGTAAAAACTTGATATTACACTCAAAGCCCTGTTGTTTACCTAGTATATTGTATTGCTTAGTAACCGAAAGATCAATGCATCAATCCTTCTGTGACAGTGGCTCGCATTAGATTTAAATCATTATTTTTGTATATGAAACAACTTTGTTTTGTATCACCTGTCTCCCAATTAGTTATCTTCGTTTGTCTTTTAAAAGAAATAACATTAAACCTGTTCATTTATCATATTCTCATTTTGTTTCATAGTTACCTTTAACTTATATAGTGATTCATTGAACTGTATTTAGTATTGAATTGCTAGAGATATTTTTGACAGGCGACTCAATTCACATGATGTTTCCTTTATTTTTTTGTCTATGAAGTGTGTAGGGAAAAATATTTAAATTCCCTAGATATATAATAACTGTCGGTAATACGTAAAGGAATGCTTTTTTCTATTTCCTGTATAGTTCCTACGTCTGTATAATACATTATATGCATACTTGTATAAATGATCACTTTTAATTTTGGACTTCCATAAATACATTTATCATGGGGATCGATTTATTAGTACATGAAAGCTGTTTACATGGGACATTCTCGTTTTATTTACGAACAAATGAACTTACCTATTTAAATATTTTTAAAGTTAAAATAATGCTTTTATTAGAGATTATGAAATAGACTGAATAAAATTACTTTTCAATTATTGACTCATAATGTTCGCTGAGAAGATTTATGTAGTTTATACTGAATACAAACAGATTCTAACTAAGCAACCATTAAAAATCAGGAAGCTATCAGGTATAAGAGGCATCATCTAGAATCAAAAGCTAGAACGAAATATCTGTTCATTGATTTCTGTATTTTTAATGGTTGTCTAGCCAAAGTCGATTCAACAAATCCAATTTCTGTTATATTTCTCAAGCAAATATTTTATCATATTATTTAAACTTTTAAAAAATGAAATATAACAGTTTAGCTAGATAGTTTACTCACTAAGATATGATTTTAAGTGTATATGCACGACTCATCTCATTCTTTTTCATTTCAGGTTAAACCGAGATAGCATTCAGTTCAATCATGTAACTCTTTAAACTGAGTTTATTTTCAAGTTGAGTAGGCCTATATAGATTTTGCATGCTTATTCAGTATAATAGTCAATTATGACTAGGAAATTAATGAACTAATTATGTTAGTGAATAGTTATTAACCAATTAGTAAACAGCCAAACTCCAGTCTTCTGAAGTTTGCTGAAGCCGTTGCTATCAGACGCCAAAAACCTGATTTATGTGTTCAAAAGGAGATGTTTATTAATCTTTCCTTGCCTTAGTGACTAATATTCCTTCGCTATATCTTAATATATATTTTCTCTTTTTCTTTAAACTCTTTCTTGCATTTATTACATCATTGAGTTTCATTCCAACTATCTTCCAATTAATAATCTTATTTTATCAACTGAACTCTACTCATTTTATTCCTATCAATATTTACTCATTATATAATCACTTGTTTCTAGCCCTTTGAACTGTCGTCACAATCAGTGTTGTAGAATATTCTTTCACCTAAGGTATATATTTACAATATTCAGTCTATTAAATTTATTTATACCCTTGCTATACTATACTAATATGTCTTCAATACATAACTTCCAACTAAACCCTCTCATGTAAGTAATTTAAACCCATTATGTAATTATGATGTTTAAATATCACAGGTTGTAAGCAGCTGACGAGAACCAACGAAATAAAATGAATTCATGCTATTCTGCTAGACTGTTCGTTCTTGCTTTTTTCAAAATGATAAAGGGAACTATGTGTATGAAATTTGCAAAGAGTTAAAAACACCTAATCACCAGGGTAAACTAAAAGATTAAGAGTATAGTTAGTCAAAAGTTTACGATAAAATGTATATAATATGTATGGTGGTCAATAATTGTGAGATTGAAAAGATTCCTAATAAAATAATAGAATTAATATTTTCTTTTTTAAAAAAACGCTCGAAGTTTAAAATAAATATGAATATTTCGTGTCTTAAAGTTATACTCAGTGACCAATTTATTCGAAATTATCATGTCAAACATTGATAATAATACTTACTAGTGACAATTACTCGTGTAGATCTTACGAAAAAAAAATAAAGTATTATGAAATAAAGTCAATGGAAACAATAAGCATCTTATAACTAGCTTCTGTAAGCACAATTTCAAATGACTTCGATACTGAAAGTAAGAGTAAACTAAGCATAAACCTTTAGAATTGTCATCTTAAATTTCATAGATAATAATAAACGAGAAATTTAAATTTGTTATATACCTTAGAATAGAGAATGTAAAAAAATTTAACTTATCCGTTACTGAATTAAGATGGTAGATATATTCAAATGTGACAGATGATAGGTCTTGATGAATGACAATATCCTTAGCTTCACAGGAGCACATAGTGACCTATCTATCATTAAATAGTTATTAATGGGAAATATGGTAAGTTTTTTGTTATATGAAACATTTTATAAACTGATTGTTCCTAGTGATTTGTAAGTATCTCACCGATATCATTCGTGGTGACATTTATGGTCATAAACAATATTTCTCCCATAGAAACTCATTTGGTGTGTGGAAATACTTTATGTTATACATGTTTAAAAATAACAAGTAATGGTTAAACATACTTTTTAAAGCCTGACTTCAATTGGGTTAATTCATTTACGAGAGTTTGAATAAAAGTTTCACTGTATAGAGGATTGAGTAAAGCTGGAAAATATGGATCACATTTTCAGCTATGTATCCTAATGATATTCTACCAATCTCAAATTAACAATGGTTTGAACATTTTTTAAGTTTGTGGTTGTCCACTACATTTTTGACGGTACATGATTTCATGTTACCTTTAATAAACATGTTCTTATCAAAATCACCCTTTTAAATTTCAAACATCAACTACACTGTTAAATGTTTAATACTTTTCTACAATTTTTTAACGTATTTTGCTGTATACAACGCTTTATAAAAATATTGTCTAACAACCATTTGTACGTTTTAATATTGTGTTCAGTGTCACATCTTATTCCATGAATAAGTGAGTTTTACTAGCATTTAAAAAGCTGTTTTAGGCAACTTCGCTGTAATTTATCAAAGACGGAAATACACGAATTTTGGAATTACTAGTGAAGATTTAATATTCATCTTAAAATATTGACACTTACATTCTCTCTTCACTGCATTTTATTATATATTATATGAGTAATTTACACTACGTTGGTAAACTAAAATGCATGGGGACACTGATTTGTGTACATGATAAAATCCATAAAACCATATGATCAAAATATAAATTATGCCGTTTAATTGACTTTTTGAAATTCATTTATTGGCGTTAAAAATGAATAGACATCAGGATAACACTTTTCTTGTGTTTGAAATGTAGAGAATCCAAGCATAGAGATAGATCATATATATATATATATATATATATATATATATATATATATATATATATATATATATATATATATATATATATATATATATATATATATATATATATATATATATATGCAGTGTTGGTTACTATGTTAAGCCCATATACCCTATTCGAGCCTCTGGACAGAGCAATTTATCCATTCTTCTTGACTCACGTTTCGACCTTCTTAATTATTCACTTATCAACCTTGACGATTCTTATGTGAGCGTATGTGTGTACATTTCTTATCCTACTCATCACATCTTTGTAGCTTATTTTTGTGTTACTATAAATATTGATTAACGCTTGGTTAAATGGAGTTGGCTCACACTCCTTCTCCACAGAGCGTCCTTCTGTTTTGTCGAGCTCTTTCCTCTTCGCTCCATTCGCTGCGATTGTCTGACCGTCTATCCAGATCAATGATTGTACAATATATATGTATTCTAAACTTGATTCTCATACTTGACTTATTTAATTACATTATTCACTAACGTGGGTTAAGTCGATAATACTATACGACGATTGACGATATTTATATATTTCGACAGCAACCATTCATATAAGACAGATCCCGGACCATTATATATATATGCAGTGTTCATTTAATCTCATACTTCAGATCTCTGATTTGCTAGATTTGACATTTTCCGTTACCGAACAGAAATAACATTTATGCATGTGGATTTAATTTAACATTCCACGGTCGGTTATATATTATAATTTATTATTCATCATAATTTCTATTTATATATATGATTTTCAATAATATTGTTTTTAATAGTTTTCCATACCTTTAAAAAACGTTTTTCAAAGTGTATTTTATATATATATGACATTAAACATGACCTACCATAGAAGGCTACATTATTTCTATGCACATAAATGTCATTCATGTAACAAAACATATTAAATTTCAGAAATTAGAAACAAAAAAACGAAAGTGAAATTCAAAGCATATACAACTGAAAAATGATCTACAATAGGTCATATAGAATTACCATAAATCTGTCGATGAAATCTAATAAACATTTGAAACTACCATTCCTTCTAACTTAAAAATAAAAGATTTATTTCTTAATTTGTAATGATTAACTTATTCAAAACAAATTTTGAAGAAAGAAAATTAGATTCATAACAACTTCATTGAAACAGAAACAGTCTGTACTGAAGAAATATTTTTTTGTGAAGTTTATAACTAATCTTAACACTGTTAACAAAGATATATGTATTTCTTACTTAATTGTATTGATCATCTAATCATTAGTTCGTTCGAATTCCTTTGTATACCACATGTGTAAAACAAACACATCTTTCTCATCGTTGTAATATTTGTATAAATGTTATCAATATTTTTCATCTTCAATCAGTGATATAACTTAAAGTGTAACCTTTTGAATTTACTAGGTTTAATATGTAATCATAAACTATCAACGAAACGACTATAATTATATGCATACAATGACTTACCAGTAATCCAAAGAATAATATCAACAAAGCCATTAGATAATTCCAACAGTGTATGCATGGAATATCTTGAATATCTAGTTTTGCTTCATTGGAATCACCAAGTAGTTGCGTCACCTGTGTAAACATTAAATGCGTATAGCTGTAAACATACATACGTAAAAAATAATTTTGTCATATTCAAGATTTAAATCACAAAATCCTTATTCATTCTCTAGTTTTACCACTATCAATCTCGAGGTGACTACCTTATACATTACAGGGAACTATATATCAGAAGAAACGCTGAAATGTATTTAGCACTCAACAACTATAAAACTATCTCTAATCAGTAAATAACAAGTTTTTTCTTTAATAAACTAAGGTAGAACTATCTCCAGAGTAAAAAAATCGTTTATATTTGTCTTCTATTTCATACATTAATTTAACCAAAAAATTTCCTTCGTAATTCAGTGTCAGGGGTTTAAATTCCAGTAATGGTAAAAGAAAATATTTTTAACAAGTTTCCAAGTTTCAATGTTTGGAATTCTTCTTCTATTACTTTACAAGCAGAAATTTATTCAGGGGGCAAATACTTAACTGATTTTCTAGGTATCAATGTTAAGGTTGGACTTAATAATTTCAAATAAATTGAGCCTTGTGTAGAGAGTTAGTGATATATATATATATATATATATATATATATATATATATATATATATATATAATATCTGAACGAGTAGGAAATTATCCTCCTGTCGTTTCGTGACTCAATGAAAGCCACTTCTTTAGAGTATGACAATATATATATATATATATATATATATATATATATCATTTAGCTGACATTTTGGTCAAAACTTTTTACAATTGATTTTCGTCAGTAATATAAATAAAATAAAATAAATAATGATTCCTAAATACATTGAATTCATTGTATTTGATTGTTTTCTTCAAATATACATACAAATTAATAAGTTTAGACAGCTTGAAATATTAACATAATTGGAACATACACCTTAAATTGACAGTCATCTATGAATATATAACGGGATGATGGTACAAAGATATAATTAAACCATAATAATAACTAAGAAACAATTTATTTCTGTCATATTAAGGTTCTGAGAAGTTAGATAAATAATTTTGTTCCTGTTGGTGCTTGTTTGGATAGCATCAGTGCAACTCCTTGTGTATGTGGGGCACTTTATTCTTTATGGACGGTGTATAAAAGCAGATCCCTTGAAGATAGTTCTTGTTGTCCAGCCTGCGTTTAAAGTGTTTCACTGATTCCCAGCACCTCTAGGTTGAATCTTTTCATTTCTGCGGCAATTTCGATGACTCTCCCGGTCTCACACATTGTACGAGCATTCCACGTACCTAAATTAATGGTTTCTCTGGTTGTCAGAAGGGGCATCAGCCTCGTGACTTCCGAAGGAACTCAGCTTTTATCATAAGACAATATAACACTTCTAAATGAAGACCTTCTAACTCCCATGTAGAGTTTGCATAATTTGAATCATTTTTTCTGGTTAGCGTTTTAGCGAGTTGTTTTTCTACGGGATAAGGTCACCAACCCCGTCCCCAACCCTTCCCCTTTATCCGAGCTTGAGACCGGCAGTAGCCCCAAAAGGTCTCCAGGCTGAGTTTAGATAAATACCCAAGACTCGATAATTTTTAATCAGTATTTAATGATAGTTAGACTTGAATTTAACTCAAAATGTTTTTAATCTCAATTTCTTAAGCCTTTTCAATAAAGATTGTTTATAATAATGTAGTTAACGTGTCTGGTCTTACAAAATTTGGCTACATTTAAGTCTCAATAAAAAAAATCATTGTTACTTTAAATTTCTTCAGAATTTTACTAGTCAAATAATTTATTGTTCCCTGTTGATTAATTGATTTCTTTGTATTTAAGTAAGTTAGCATTTGGAACTAATGAAATTTACTCGATAATGTGCTATGAAAAAGAAAACACACACACAGATATAGAATGAACTCATTGTAACTTGCACACGTTTATCGTATTTGGCTTGCTTCTTTTAATCTACTATAGAAAAGTAATACATTAATTAAGTGAAAGTATTTACTGTGAGAAAACATCCTCAATAACAAATAAATGGCTAGTTTTTTTGGTAAATAGGTCAGTGTTTCATGAAAAATGATCAGGCTTTGGAAACGAATAAACGTGTTGTGATACCTCAGAATATTTGTGGCTTTCTGTTAGTATTTTAAAACAGGAAATCATTTTACAAATAAGATGTAATCATATATCTAACATGATTGAGACTACTTATATATTTTCTGGTTAGTATCAATAATAATGAATATAGGATTTTTTTTAGTTAACCAAATCATCTTCATTATTTTACACTGATCGCTAAAATGAATGATTTAGAAACACAAGTCTAGTGATACCTTAAGATTTGTTAAGCGAATATGCTTGTTGTCGCCCAATCTGATATATATACGTATTACTAACAAGCATTCAATATTCTTATAGACATAAAAGTCTCTACAACTGATGATCTATTTTAAGCAGAGATGGTTAGTGGCTAGCAGTGGAATCAAGGACACGCGTTTCATTCTACTTGGGACTCGTCAGACTTGTGAATCTGCGTCCCAAAGTTGATGTACTATCCGAGGTTCAAGCTCATTACCGTTCTCTGCAAACGCCATCACGTTATCCACTTAGCTGCTGAGTCTTGATGGCAGTTAGCTTGTGCAATGGGTGAAGTTTAAATTCACTTTTGTGTTGGCTGTTCGAATCTTCTTAAATATCAATGTGAATGCTACTGGGTTCAAGTCACGAAATGAACATCATCTCTGGGATGCAGGTACATCCAACTAACGAGTTCCACACAGAACGAAACGCGCGTCCCGGATTCTATTGCTAGCCTTCATTCATCTCTATTTATAATGCTTGTGACTGAAGGTAATATTGAGGCAATCATATGTGTATAATGCACATATGTCAAATAAGAGACTAATCGATTTCAGTCCTTAACTTCAATGGGAGGATTCAAACAACTGATAGGAAAATGAATGATGACATATTTTGTTTAATATAATGAAAGAAACTGAACAGTGAATTAATGTTTTATCTAAGAAACAGAAATACTTTTATTTTTATTAAAAGTAATACATTAGCAAACGTTTTTTCTGTAAAGATAGATAATGTTAACTGTATACTAATAACTAATCGTTTATAATAATGATATTACTACACAGTAGGTAATAGCGATTTGTTTTATCGAATCACTGACAGTTTAATTGATTAATTTCAATAAATTGAAAGAAAACTTTCGAATAGGAGGAATTTTTGACATAATTACATTTCTGGCTAGTATATACATACATACGATTGAAGACTCAGTCAAGAAAGATAGACAATTCGTGAGTTCTAAATGAAAATCATTATAAACCAGATACCTACACAAATAAGTATTATATTAAATTTAAGAATTGAAAATCCGGTCTTGTTTTATGTAAAAACCATCATACTGATAGGTGAAATACAGTATTTATTTATTAACTAATGTTATCTAATAGCTACACGATAAGGTGACGGACGAGACAAAATATTATACCTAAGGTTTTGTAGATGGTTGGAAAGAGCGTACTTTGTTTTGCCATTAAAAGTCGTTGCACAAGAACAAGTTAACTAGTTGATAGATATTAATTTGGCTGCACTCGGTAGTCCTTACCTGACACTACTCGAATAAGCTATTGGCTACGAAAAGCCATTTGAAGTTTAGGCAGTTACGTTTTTAGAACCTCCAGTACACATTGGCCTGAAAAAGTCTACTCTTTCTTATTGCATCTCCAAGCATTACCTGCATGGTTATCTGATAATGAATTTATAAGGAATATTAGTCGCATTATTGAGTGGCTCAACAATTTTGGTCACTTGATCTTACCCGAACTATCTCCCTAAAGTTAACTTTGCTCAGGATGAACAAAAACAACTTTTCACCTCTCTCAGTCTGGGCTGGTAATGTGTAATCCATCTTAATCTCAGGGGTGGAAAGACAGCTTTTTATCCCTGTATTATGTCATTTCTTTCACATATTAAATCGTCATTATTTTTCTATTTGATCTTTAATTTAATTTAATTTACTTATTCTTCATGTAAAATTGCCATAAAAGGATAATTCTATGGAAAAGTACTGTGAAGATATATCAAATCGCATCTATTTAGTACATTGAGTAACTACATTTGATAAGTTTAGCGGGTCGTTCTGCCTATTTATTCATCTATGTAGAAGCAGCAGACTTTTAAATAGACAGAAAAGACTGAGCTCAAAGCCTGTTATTTTATTGCAATGCTATTATGTAAGGAATGGTAAAGTTGGTGCCTATATGACAGAAATACTTTTTTGGGTCCTCTCTCAGCTTAGTTATAATAAATCAGGAATCATGTTTTATTTTAAGAGAATGATAAGATAGTCTTCTCTTATTTATTTATGTAAGATCAACTTTTAATACCACATTCCTTGTTATAATTATCAAACATTTTACCCTATAACCGTTGTTATATACGGTTTTATAAATGCTGTTTTGTTCTTTATCGATCTATATTTTGTTGTACCTCTACTAAATACATAAACGAAAATCTCAAAGAAACTATATATACACTACCATGACTTCGTTACCGTTATTATCAATGGTATGAAATAGTTAATTTTTTTTTGTTCTTTATTAGCAGTAAAAATATTTCAACTATTGACTATACTTACTTATCAGAATATAAATTTGATATCTATCCACCTCTAGTTAACTATTCTTACTGAGAATATCATTGAAAGATTAGAACAACATTAGTTAACAACTTTATTATAAAAAACGTATTGAGATGATTAAACCAATCATTGGATAATTACTGTTACCTTAAATATCAGAAACTTACATTTACTTCGAAAGCTAATCATGGAAATAAATCAGGCAATTTTTAGTTGAATAAAGTAGATGATTGAAATTATTGTAATAGACTGTAGAACATTTTATGAATCATCATAAGAAATATAACTTGGTACAGAAAATTCCTAATTTGTACCAATTCATAATCTAGGAACATAGTTCCAAGTTATTAATTAGTTTGGATGGGAATAAAACGTAAAGCAAAATATTGGAAATAA